TCACACAAATTGTTGATCACTGGATGAGAGGAGGTTTGTGGGGCTGGGTGGAAAAGGTGAAGGGATTAAAAAGTACAGATTGGTAGTTACAGAGCAGTCACAGGGATGTAAAGGACAACCAAGGGAATATACTCGGTAACATTGTAATAGCTCTGCCTGGTGCCAGGTGGTAATTAGACCTAATGGGGGGATCTCTTTGTAAATTATATACATATCTAATCACTGCTATACACCTAACACTCCTATAATATGGTGTGACCACTGTAAAAAAAGAAAAGAAAAAGACACTAGGATCCCTTTATTAAAAAATGCTTTAGGCCCTGGCTAGGAAGTTCAATTGTTTAGACTGTCGTCCCCATATGCCAAGGTTGTGGATTTCATCAAAGGTCAGGGCACATACAAGAATCAACCAGTGAATGTAAATGAGTGGAACAACTAATCTCTCTTTCTCTCTCTTTCTCTCCCTCCCTCTGCCTTTCTCTGAAATTAGTTTTTTAAAAAGTCTAAAAAAAGAATCAGCTAATGGAGAAAAGAGTTGTCTGGCCAAGATGGAGGTGTAGGTAGATACAGTTTGCCTCCTCCCACAACCAAAAGAAGGAAAACAACAAATTTAAAAACAAAAAATAACCAGAACTGCCAGAAAATCGAACTGTATGGAATTCCAACAAGGAAGGAGTTAAAGAAGAAATATCCATCCAGACCTTAGCGAGGGGCAGAGATAGGCAGCCTGGCAGAGAGGACTCCCTGCAAGACTGTGGGGCTGGGACTGGAGGAGCAGGAGTCCCACATTTGCATGTGGATAAAGCAGGAGGAATGACTGGGGAGTGAGATAGACCGAGCAACCCAGGATTCCAGTGTGGGGAAATAAAGCCTCAAAACCTCTGACTCTAAAACCTGTGAGAGTTGTGGTAATGGTGGGAGAAACTCCCAGCCTCACAGGAGAGTTTTTGGGGGAGACCTACGGGGTACCAGAATGTACACAACCCCCCCCCTCAACCTGGGAATCAGCACCTGAATTGCCCAATTCGCTTAAGGGAAGCGGGGGAAGTGACTGAACGTGGGACAAGAGCTGAGCAAACAGCACTGTTCCCTCTTGGACCCCTCCCCCACATGCAGGGCCACAACACAGTGATGGGGGTGGGGGGGACAGTTCCCCGCCCTAGCAAGTACCCAAGGCTCCAATCTTTACTATTTAACAAGTGAGCCCAGATGAAAATATATGACCCAAAGGAACAAAAACATCAAACTCCAAAAATAGAACTAAGCAATGAAGAGATAGCCAACCTATCAGATACACAGTTCAAAGCACTGGTAATCAGGATGCTCACAGAAATGATTGAGTATGGTTGCAAAATAGAAGAAGAACTGAAGGTTATGAAAAGTGAAATAAAGGAAGGTGTACAGGGAACCAATAATGAAGGGAGGAAAATAGGGAGTTAAATCAGTCATTTGCAGCAGAAGGAAGACATAAACATTCAATCATGAAGCAGAATAAAGAAACAAGAATTCAGAAAATGAGGACAGGCTTAGGAACCTCTGGGATAACATTAACTGTCCCAACATCCAACGAATAAGTGTGCCAGAAGGAGAAGAGAAAGAGAAACTGGAAACTTATCTAAAAACATAATGAAGGAAAACTTCCCTAATCTGGCAAAGGAAATGGACTTTCAGGAAGTCCACGAAGCTCAGAGAGTCTCAAAGAAGCTGGACCCAAAAAAGCACCAAGGCACAGCATAATTACATTACCCAAGATTAAAGATAAGGAGATCATCTTAAAACTGCAAGAGAACAGGAGACTGTTACTTACAAAGGAGTTCCCATAAGACTATCAGCTGATTTCTCGAAAAAAAATTGCAGAAAAGAAAGTGCTGGAATGAAGTATTGGAAGTCATGAAAGACAGGGATCTAAATCCAAGATCACTCTATCCAGCAAAGCTATCATTTAGAATGGAAGGGCAGATAAAGTGCTTCCCAGATAACATCAAGTTAAAGGAGTTCACCATCACCAAGCCCTTATTATAGGAAATGTTAAAGGGACTAATTGAAGAAAAAGAAGATGATCAAAAACATCAACAGTAAAATGATAAGAAATTCACAACTATCAACCATTGAACCTAAAAAACAAAAACAAAAACAAACTAAGTAAACAACTAGAACAGGAACAGAATGACAGAAATGGAGATCACATGGAGGTTTATCAGTGTGGAGGGGATCGGTTGCTATGGGGAGAGTAGGGGAAAAGGCACAGGGAATAAGAAGCATAAATGGTAGGTACAAAATAGAGAGGGGGAGGTTAAGAATACTACAGGGAATGGAGAAGCCAAAGAACTTCTATGTATGACCCATGGATGTAAACTAAGGTAGGAGAATGATGGTGGGGCAGATACGGGTGGAGGGGAATAAAAGGAAGAAAAAAGGGGACAACTCTAATAGCATAATCAATAAAATATATTTTTAAAAATTAACAAAATAAAACAAACATAACATTCTTAAAATACTACGTACATAACAAAAAAGGGGGCATTAATGTTTCTGTTTTTATTTTTCAGACAGAGGGGAAGGGAGGGAGAAAGGGAGAGAAACATCGATGTGAGAGAGACACGTCCATCAGTTACCTCTCTCTGTGACCAGGGATCCAACCGGCATCCTTTTTCTTTGCAGGATGACACCAAACCAACAGAGCCTCACCAGTCAGGGCACAAAAGAGGTTTAAAGGGCCAGTAGGGGGCTACAACACCATCTGATCTCACTTATCTGTAGAATCTAATGAACAAAATAGACCACAGGTGGCAAACACAAAGCTCTGAGGCCAAATCCGCGCTCTACCTTCTTTTACGTGGCCCGGCACCTTGTTTCTACCTGGCGGCAGTGCTGAGGTCCTTGCCCCTAGTTAAGGAGTCGTTACATCTGTACAGTTCTGAAATCATTATCAGCTCTTTGTAGGAAACCACAATGCTGAGGTGGCCCCGGTGAAATCAGTTTGACACCTCAGAAATGGACAGAGGCATGGACATATGGAATAGACTGACAGCTGGAAGAGGGAAGGAGGGGAGGGGATGGAACAAGGTAAAGACATTAGCCCAGAGACAAGGACAATAGCCTGCAGATGCCCAGAGGGCAGGGAGGTGAGGCCAGGGGCAAAGTGCCCAAAAGGGGGAAATGGGACACTGGTAATAATATGAACAATAAAAATAGTTAAAAAATTAAAAATTAAAAAAAACAAGGTAGTGTGAGGCCTGGTGTTTCTCAGATGATGCAACTGCAATCCACAATCCAGTGATTCCAAACATGTTTAGGCAAATCAGTCACCAACATTCCAAAGGATCACATTTTTAGATTGAGAGAGAAAATTTTGTCATTTTTTATATTCATTTCCCAAGAGAGGACCAGAAATGATATTCAGGATCTAATTTACAATGATTACATGTCAGTATTTTGTTCACATTCATTTAAAAATAATTTTCATACAAAATTACGTCCTTTCCCCGCCCCCCCACCCCCGGTAACCTGTTTGTGGGGTGAGAAAATCTCATTACCTGGGTGGAAATCTGATTGGAATGAGTGGCACAGACAGGAAGTGAGGTAGGTGGGAGGAGGGCCTCCCTGATAAAAGGGGCTTGCTGGTCCACCTCACTCCAGAGCTGAGTCAACAGGGGAAGCAGCTGGAGACCAGAAGAGGACCTAGTGCACCAGAGGTGAGTCCATGGTTTTGACTTTCCTGTTTCTACAAAAGGTTCAGCAAGTGCTGACTGAGGCCAGCTCAGTGCCAGGAATGGGGTGGACACCTAGGGATGAATTGTCTTTGATGGGAAGAGTGGGCAGAACTTAGATGTTTAACACCAGGTAGCAGAAATAACATGATTGTCTTTATGCTAAGTCAGATCCGAGATGGGTGGACCCTGCCAGGTGGTGAGTGGAATGTCAGCCACTAACTTACTCTGCCTCTCAGGTTCTGCTGTGGGTCTGAGCCACACTCATCTGGGGCAGTTGTAGGACTTCTGGGTCTCAACCAGCACTGTCCACTGGATATAAAGTCACACAGAGACATCATTGTAAATGAGGGGTTTTTTTAAAGTATTTTTTTAACTTATTGATGTGAAAGAGAAAGAAGCATGAATTTGTTATGATCTCATTGAATTCACTGGTTATTTCTTCTCTGAGCCCTGATCTAAGACTGAACCTGAACCTTGGGGTATCAGGACAATGCTCTAACCAAGTGAGTTCCCCAGCCAGGGCTAACCTCATTTTCTACAAGACACATATACAAAGTAAAAAAGAAAACAACAACAACAAAAAAAACAAGCCTTTCATTATAACTGGCAGAAGGCAGTGATTCAACATCTCATCAATTTCAGAAGTTCTTTGGGAGGTGGCTTATATTCTCCTGTCCTGTGATGTCTTCAAATTCAAGGGTATATCTTATGCTCAACATCTTTCAAGGTGGATAAGACCTATCCCACAGGCTCAATAGCCACTCCAGACTAGAGGATGTGGCTGAGTTGGCTTGATCGTCATCCCATATTACTGAGAGTTGATGGTTGAGCTCCACTCAGGGTGTGTACAAAAAGCAACCGATCTCTCTCTCTCTCTCTCTCTCTCTCTCTCTCTCTCTCTCTCTCTCTCTCTCTCTCTCTCTCTCTCTCTCTCTGTGTGTGTGTGTGTGTGTGTCTCCCTCTCTCCCTCACTCCACTTCCTCTCTGTCTCTAAAACCAATAAAAACCTGTCCTTGGCTGAGGATTGAAAAAAAAATTCACGAGTAGAGACCATCTCACCCCCTAACTTACAGCCCCAGGATGAAGCTTGTCTTCATGCTAACTAGCATTTCAAAATCAGAAATTCCGGGCCATGAGCTATTGATGTTTATACTTGGATTGCATCTTCATTGCCTGGGAGTGGTGAGTGCAGGTCGCTATTCACAGAATAGGGTGGAGTCCCTGGACCATTAAATCCTTGTCACGCATGATGTTCTAACGACCTCTCTCTTTCCCCACACAGGGGGCATGGCCAAACATTTTAAAGACATAAGCAGTTGCTATGTTTGCCGGTCCTACATGGAAGACCCCGTGAGCCTGAAATGTGGGTTCATCTGCTGCCTCAAGTGTGTCAACTCACTGCCGAGAAACCCCAGGGGACAAGGGACTGTGTGTTTCACCTGCCCTGAGGTTTCTCAGAAGAGTGACATCAGGCCCAATCGCCAGCTGGCCAGGCTGGTGTCAGAGGTCTGGGTGCTGGAGCCCCAGCTGAGAGCCATCCTGAGGATGAACCCGAGGATGCGGAGGTTCCAAGGTGAGGTCTGGGGCCACCAGACCCCACCCCATGGAAAACAGCCACTTGTCAAAGCCCTCCAGTCAAGGTGCTTTACCTGGGTTGTGGCACCTGAAATGTTCGTTCTTTCCCAATGTGCCAACCTGGAAGTCTGCATTAAAACCATCTGTAGGTTTTCTTTCCTTTTTTAAGATTTTATTTATTTATTTATTTTAAGAGGGGGGGAAAGGAAGTGAGAGATGGTCAGAAACACTGATACAAGAGAGAAATATGGATGGATTGCCTCTGGTAAGGGCCCCGACCTGGAACCCAATTCACAATCGCCCCCATGTCCTAACCAGGAAGAAAACCAGCATCCTGTTCTTGGAAGAACGTCTCTCAACCAGCCCCACAGTCAGAGCCATCTGTCCGTATCCAAGAAAATATTAGATTTAGCACTGCCTGGTGTGACTCAGTGGACTCAGTGCCAGCCTTAGGAACCAAAGGTTCTCCAGTTCTATTACTAGTCAGGGCACTTGCCTTGGGTGTGGGCCATGTTCCCAGTAGGGGGCCTGTGAAAGGCAACCACACATTGATGTTTCTCTCCCTCTCTTTCTTCATCCCTTCTCCTCTCTCTAAAAATAAAAAACAAAAGAAATCTTTAAAAAGATAAAAGAAAAAGTACATAGTCAATCACTTGACCTATACTATCCAGTATTTTCAGTAGCCACATAGGTAGCTGGTGGTCATTTGGAACTGGAGGTTGATGGAGTAGAAATTTGATTGATTGAGTAGAAATCCAAGGCTGGGTGTTACATAGCCTGTATCCCTAAAATCCATCCTTCCTGATTCTTCACTGTTTTTAATGTGTTTGTAAACTATTTTCATTTTTAAATATGTGTGAAGTTGATGTTTGAATTACAGTTGCCACACAATATTACAGTAGTTTAAAATTACAGCATAGTAATTAGATATTCATATAGCTGAAGAAGTGTTTCCCCTTGATCACCTAGTCCCCACCTGGCACCATGCACATCACCCCAGTATTACTGACTGTATTCCCTGTGCTTCCCACTACCACCCTGGGCCTGTTCTGTCACTGCCCATCTGTACTTCCCAATCCCTTCCCCTGTTTTACCTCATGCCCCAAACCCCCTCCCATCTGGCAAACATCAATGATTTTTAATGTTTTCAACTCTAGTTGCATTTAATATTGTTTTCTATTGTACACCAACTATAACTGAAACTTAAAAAATTGTTTTAAAAATTAAACAGGCCTGGAGCTGGCTCAGTTGGTTATAGAGATTCCTGTATACTGCAAGGTTGCAGGTTCGATTCCAGCCAGGGGGCTCATGAGTGAGGCACATGAGTGCCTCACATGAGTGAGGCAAGTGATGGATGTCCCTCTCCTCCCAACACCTCCTTTCCTCCCTGTGCAAAATCACTAAAAACATATCCTCAGGGAAGGATTAAAAAAATAAAAATTAAATTAAAAAAGGAAAAAAATAGAGATAAAAGAAACAAAAATGGGGAGTGAGAAATCATTATTCTGGAAGGTTTCTTTCTAAGGTTGAGCCAACCCCATATAGGGGTCACCTTAGACACAGAACTCTGCACCCGAATTATAGTCAGAGGGTGGTGGTCCCACAGAACAGGGTCCCATGCTCCACGTTCAGGCCCCTCCAGGTGCTGCCCCAATGAGCTGCGGTCCCGGTTCCTGCTAAGGTGTCACAAGTCCTAATGTCAGGACTGTTAGAAAAAAATACATACATACACATAGATTTACAAATATATGTACAGATTTATATATTTATATATTTATATGTAAATATATTATATATGTATATATATAATTTTAATATAATTTAGAGAGAGAGAGAGGAAACTGAAAGCTTTGATGTCAATTTTACTCTGCAATAAGTACAATATTCTCTATCCTTTGAAATGCCTAGTTCAGGGGTAGGTGTGCAGAGTCTGTGATAATTTGTATGCTAATTTTGAAAACATGCAGCAATCATGGCCTCTTTTTCCATGCGGAGTCCACACTAAAGTGAAGAAACCTCCTTCATCAACTAAACAAAGAGCTTAATGTAGAGAGAATGGCTCTCATGACCAAGGGCCAGTTCAAATGATGACCGTCTAGTTGTGTCCACGAAATCTGATGTAATCGGGGACCCAGGAAGTTCCCTCAGGAAAATCCACAGTGTGGAGTAGAGGACTAGGAAGTGAATGAGCCACGTGGGCCCCTGAGGTGGCCCTGAGGGGCGGGGACAGAGCTGACAGATTATTTCTCTTTCCACAGTGGACATGACCTTGGATGTGGACACAGCCAACAAGTTCCTCTACATCTCCGAGGACCGGCGGCAAGTCCGCTGCGTGTACGTGGAGCAGAAGCGCAGGGCCTGTCCTGAGAGGTTCAGCATCTCCCCCTGTGTGCTGGGCTCCCCGCAGCTCATGTCGGGCCGGCACTACTGGGAGGTGGACGTGGGCACCAGCGGAGAGTGGAACCTGGGCGTCTGCAAGGAGTCTGTTCCTCGGCAGGAGGACGTCATCCTCTCTTCAGAACATGGCTTCTGGATCGTGAGCTGCAGGGAGCACGTCACCTTCCTGGCCAGCACCACACCAGTGACAGCTCTCATTGTCAGTACCCACTTATACCGCGTGGGTGTTTTCCTGGACTTGGAAATGGGGACCATTTCCTTTTATCACGTGGATGATGGCTCTCACATTTTTACGTTCCCCCCAATTTCTGTGGCAGAGCCCCTCCGTCCATTTTTCGCTCCTGGAATTCCAGCGATGGACCGTGGGAATTTCATGACACTCTGTCCTGGGTTCAGCCCCAGCCTGGCCAGTGCAGCTGGGCTCTGAGCACAGCAGGTAAAGATGCACCCTGCGTGCCCACAGCCATGGACACCAGCCCCTCCGCTGCTGGCCCAAAGCCCTGAAAAACATGGGACAGCTATGAATCCCAAACACAAATTATAAGGAAATTCCACTTCCCATATTAAGTCCTGTTATGGTTGTTTTGAGGAGGGCTTCCTTCTGTAATTGTCCAATAAATACCTTTTGAACATTCACATCAATTGCCAAATGTTTTCCTTTTTATTTTCTAAAAGATCCACTGAATGTATCAGGAAGGTTGTAGACAAAATAAAAATAAGGATGTGAGCCAACAGACTGAATGGTTTTCTCTGTGATAAGAAACCAGACCTATAGAAACAGATCAAACAGGGATGTGGCCTGGCCAGGGTGGCTGGGTTGATTGCAGTGTCCGCCCATGCACCAAATTACCACAGGTTTGATTCCCAGTCAGGGCTTGTGCCTAAGGAACATAAGGAAGGCAACCTGACTGATGTTTCTCTCTCTCAACAACAGGAGATGTGTGTGTGTGTGAGATTTCTCTCAGTAACAGAAAAACACATTTATTTCAAGTACACAGAATGTTCTGAGACCCTACAGGAAAGCAGGAGGACTTCAGGAACAGCTGGATACAGGAGGTTCATTGGCTCAGAAAGAATCTTTATGTTCATTTATAATGTTTGGAGTTAGTGAGGCTTCACTAGCTTCCAGCTTGGAGTGATGAGAACTGAACAGTCAAGGAGAAAGTGTCTCAGGTGCCACAGAGGCAACTCTGCCACAGTCCCCCCTGGGCCTTTGCCCCTGATTCCTTCCCCTTCATCACAGCAGGGTTGTGTTGCTTAGCTTCCACCAGACAGGTTGTCCTTGGAGTAAAACTGGCAGATTCTTGAGAGGGAGGGTTGGACGGGGCTTCAGGTGCAGCACAAGGGCTGATATGCCTATTGGTGGACACAGGGTGGGACATCAGCATCGTGGTAGAATGAGGACCCTCTTAAAGAGACAAGTCAGACACTGTGACGCTCCCTGCACAAGCCTGTCTGTGTGACCCAGGTGGGAGGGTGTCCCAGAGAAGTCCCAAAGGTCCCAGCCCAATCTGGCTGTAAGACCCCCGCCAGCCGGCAGAGGGTGCGAGGGTAGACGTGACCTTCAGGCGATGGAGTGGCTAAAACCTTGGACACATACAAGGACGCCAAAGTAGTAGGGGTGGGGGGAGGTGAGGGGCTGGGGACCATGGGGAAAGGAGGCACAGAGAGCCTAACAGACGGGGAACGTGGGGAAAGTAAACACTGGAGACACAAGGCAATGAGAAACGAAAGGTAAAACGAGTGGAGAGAGTCCCCATAGGTCAATAATCACCAGAATGGACATGGACCGAACTCACCAACCAAAAGGCACAGAGAAGATGAATATATTAGAGCAGAACACAATTATGCTGGCTGTAGGAGATCCAACTCACATCCAAAGACACACAGACCCACACAGTGAAGGGGCAGATGAAACAATCTCCCTTTAAACTGTGCAGCCCTGGCCCAGAGGCTCAGTGGATTGGACCCTCCTACAGTCCACCAAAGGGCTGAGGGTTCTATTCCTCCTGGGGGCTTGGATGAGAGGCAACAGATTCATGTATTTCTCTCACGTCTATGTCTCCCTTTCTCTCTCTCTTTCTCAGTTTCTCCCTTCTTCTATCTCTCTAAAATCAACAAACATGTCCTCAGGTGAGCATTGAAAAGCAATGGGCAGAGGACCAGAACAGACACTTACAGACGGCTAATGGAGGACTTACAGATGGCTTACAGATGGCTCATAGTCCTGAAAAAGTGCTCAATGTGTCTCTAAGAGACATGCAAACTAAAACCACAATGAGGTATCAGTTCCTGTCTGCTGGAAAATCTACCTTCAATAAAGCAACAAACCAGTGCTGGCCAGGATGTGGGGAAAAGGGAACCCTCTCGCACGCTTTGTGGGAATGCAGACTGGTGCAGCCCCCTGGAAAACAGTGTGGAGTTCCCTGAAGATAATAAGTATGGAACTGCCTGTGGACCCAGCTATCCTACTTCTGGGTACTTACCTGAAGAAATCCAAAACACTTCTTGAAAGAATATACTCACCCCTCTGTCCATCACAGCGTGATTTACAGCAGCCAAGCTCGGGAACAGCCCAGGTGCCCGTCAGTGGGTGAGTGGATAAACGAGCTGTGATGCATTCACACCGCAGAACACTATGAGGCAGGAAAAGAGAATGAAATCTTGCCATTTGGGATGGCATGGATGGACCTAAAGGGTATCACGCTGAGGGGAATAAGTCAGATGGGAAAAATTAAAATCACATGATTTCACTCATATGCAGAGCACAAAACAAAAAGCAACAAACAAATTGACAGAGCAAACAAAAAGGAACTCACAGTCACAGCCAGCCCTGTCATGGTCACCAGAGGGGAAGGAAGTGGCGGGGGGAGAAGAGAGGAGAGGGAGTCACATGTGTGGGGACGGAAGGAGACCAGAGGTGAGGTGCAGAGCATTTTTATTTCCCCGTGAGGGGCTACAGCTGGATACTGTATAGAAGCCCTAGATGTCCCACCTGCCTGTCTCAGCTTGAACAACCCCTGTACATAAAGTGACAGGTCCAGGTGTCCAGTGCGCTGGCCATGGCAGAAGGACTGGAAGAAATAGTGGACTGTGCCCCTTGCCCCCAGTGGTATCTCAAAAGGAAGATTTCAGGCCAGTGAGCTGGCTGGTATAGCTGGTTTCTAAGATGTGATTTTCAACTGGCATTTCTTACTGTCAATTGAATATTGCAGTGACCAATTTTAATGTTATCTCCCTGTATTTCCCCATCATTCCTTTGTCCTAATCCCAGAGTGTATGACCAGGAAGGCTTCTCCCCACAGTCAGCATCCAGGACATGGAGACAGGCTAGTCCAATGGGAGACTCCAGTATGAGGTCTACGAATGATAGAGAGGTATTACAGTGTCCCATATGTCACATGGTCAGAGGGAGACCCCAGACCCTGAGCAAGGACACAGTGGCTTCAAGTGGAGGTATTTTCCAGACTCAACACACCTCAGACTGGGAACAACAAGCCCTGCGGAACTTCAATGCCTAGGAAGACCAGCCAGGGGTCACACAGGATGACCACTGTGAGGGGCCTGGGGACAGAAGAAGAAGAAGCTGAAGGCAAGGACCCACCAGGAAATGCTGTGACTGGAGCTCCTGGTGTAGAGTGTCCCTGCACCCCAATGACAACATGAGTTTCAGCTCAGATTCTCTCCAAGGGACATGGGATACTTTTTCTACCTCCTGCTGGCTGCCCCAGAGGGCCATCTCAGTAATGGCCATCACTGTCCCCAGTCTCTACACCTGCCTGAGGCTGCCATCTTGTGGTCATATCCTGATGTCAGGTTCTTTGTCCTAATAGTCTGGTCTGTCCAGCGTCTTCATGGTCCTTCTCCTGCACAGACACCACCAGAGGCTGCAGCACATTCACACCCCACAGCTGCCACCAATGCCCTCCAGAGACCAGAGCCACCCACACCGTCTAGTTGCTGGTGGATACCTGTGTCACTTCCTATGTGCTGATTTCTGTGTTCACTTTAAAGTCATAGTGTGAGTGGGCCCCCATCTCCGGTGGGTGCAGACCTTCCCTGGTTGGCTTCTTGTTCTCCTGCTCTTCACCCCTCACTGCAGATGCACAGGGATCCTAGAGCTCCTGGGGTCATGAACTATTGGAAGTGACTCTTGACAATCTAATCTGTGGATGTCAGTGTTTATAATATTCCTAATTACACTGTTTACTAATCCTTCACCGAATGCCAGTGTTGCACATAATATATACCATGAACTTTATTTTAAGTTACAATAGAACTGACATACAACCTCATGAAAGTGTAAGATATCCAGTGTGTTTATTTGATGCACTTACATCACTCATGTGCCGTCTAATGGTGGTGATCCATCCTGAGAAACATGTGGTTGTGTGATGCTGTGGTTGTGCAAACAGCCCAGAGGCTCTCACACCTGGATGGTCTCCCTACTGCTCCCCTACACTGCAGGGATCAGCCTATTACTTCTGGGCTACAAGTCTCCACCGAATGTTGTTGTACAAAACAACTTGTACAATAAATCAACACAAGAGACAATAATGCCATCACGAGACCTGATAAACACAGGTATGAGGCTGCTGCAGCCATTACAAAGCATTCTTTTCTACTATAAGCCTTTAAAAAAACTGTCACCCAAGGCCATGTTAATCTATTTGAGAGAAAGAAAGTGTGTGTCTCAGAGAGAGAGTCAATATTCTGCCTGTAGGCACTCTGACCAGGGATCAAACCCACAACATTTTGGTACTCATGATGACACTCTAACTAACAGAACTACCTGGACATGACAGGTATAAATTCTTTGGTGAGGGTCTGTTTAGAAATGTGATCCATTTTTATTGAGTTATTGTTGTCTTATTGTTGAGTTTGAGTGTTCTTATCATATTCTAAAAGAACAGAATTGCCAATAATTCTCCTACTCTGTGGCCTGAGCTCTTTTTACAGACATAACAACAACATTAATGCACAGATAGGTTTTCCTGGGAGGAGGAAGCAGAAGTGACTCACTGAGATGGTTTCCTGGGAGAGCACTTGGGTGACTGAGAGGGCAGAGGGACAGTGTGACTTATTTCTCTTGTGTGTTCTTGAGTGCCTTTTGAATTTTGTTGTATGTGCATGAATAACTTTTTCTAAGAAGTTACAGTAAATCCCTACCATTGTAAAACTCCTGACAGGCCATCCTCACATCACAATTTAAGATTCACACTCTTATCCTCTTCTCTAAGGCCAACCATTTGCCTTAGATATTCCATTCCTGACAAACTTGGCTGGACTCTATGAACAAATCCTCCCACTGAAAATAGCTAAAAATGATGTGTGCAATACAAAAACAGACTTCTGAAAAGCAACAAGGAGTTCACTAGATACTAACGACCATGCCCCAGATGGAAGGAAAGACCCAGCTTGGCCTCCACAGAGAGCAGCGCCCTGAATGAGGAGTGGGGGAAAGTATGCAAGTTCATTGCCCAGAGTCCAGACATAGAGCCCAGCACTGTCAGCCCTGAGCTGAGCTCTTCACTTTCCTCCCCATCTGCCTTTTCTTTTATACATGTCAACAACATTTTTAACTTAATTTTGTGTATATAGATAATCTGTGATTTCTATGATGAATGCATACTTACTGTAAAAATCATAAGATGTTAAAAGTTGTAAATGACAAATTCTCACTAAACTAAAGGAGTTCCTTGACCCGTGCACATTCAAGCCCGATCCAATGCAAACAGCAGCTTGCAGCAAAGAAAGCAAAGGGTTAGCCCTGGTAAGTGTGGCTCAGTGGGTTGGAGAATCATCCCATGACTGAAAGGTTGCAAGTAGATTCCTGCTCAGATCACGTACCTCAGGTGTGAGAATGATCCCTGGTCTGCGTGCCTGTGAAAGGAAATCAGTTGATGTTTCTCTCTCACATTAATGTTTCTCCCTCTCTCATTTCCTCTCTCTCTGAAAGCAATGGGGGAAAAAATCCTCAAGTTAGTATTAAAAAAAAAAAGAAATACTTGATTTCTTTAAGGAAGTGGCTCCAAACCCAGAGTCACAGGTGAGTTGTTCCTCTAAGATCTGGCTTCCTGATGGCTTCTAGGGGACGGGTTGCATGGGAGACTGAGGGACTTAGGGTCAAGGTCTCCATTGATTGGTCAGCACTAGGGTAGTGGGTGGTTGGTCATTGATTCTGGTCCTATGTCAGTCATAGGGCCATTCTGTCCAGTTTCACATGTTCATTCCACTACTTTCCCCACAGTCTAAATCTTCATGAGCATGTTTTTGAACACATCAGATATTCAACCACTTTCACCTCTGCAGACACCTGTCCAGAGCCCTGGCTCCAGACACAGGTGCACTGGGTCTTTGCAGACCAGGAGCTGGATGTCCTTCACCTCAGCTCGGGCAGCCCTGGCCTCTCTTGTTCTGGCTCCCCTGTCATCTGGATCCCACATATTCCCCTTGTTTGGTTTACTTCCTGATTTTCCCCACTTTTCCTGGTAGTATTTTCCTAAAGAGAACATGCAAACTTAACTATGAAAACTCTAAACACATGAGGAAACTTTAGACTTTCTTAGCCCTTATTCACACTTTGACTTGATATAGAAATCTGTTTAGGAAATATTTTTCTCTCCAGAAACTGGCAAACATTGCTTCCATGTTTTCTAGTCTCCAGGCCCATATCTGCTGCCTCTTGAAGTTTTCAAGGTCTCTTCCATCCCCTTTTTGCAATTCCATCATGATGTGTCTGGGTGTGGGTCTGTTTTTATCTGCTGTAGTGAGAATATAATTAGACCACTCAAAATGTAAATTGTTATCTATACACTTCAAGAAATATTCTTGGAAAATTCTAAAATCATTTCCTACTCAGCATGTTTCATTTTCATTTTCCCATACTATTTTTACTGTTATTATTAACTTATTGAAATCTCTTGACAGACAGACTAATTGGTCTTTTCTCCAGCTTGCCCACACGTTTTCATTTATACCACTCAGTAGGAGTATACCTTGAATCTTCCAGTTCACCTATTGAATTATTCACTTCTATGATATTTTTGATTTCCAAGTGATCTTTCCTGTTCTATGATTGTGTATAATGGTTCTGTTTCAGATGCCATTATCTTTTACATCTTTCAGGTAATACTAAGACCACAGGAATGGGACCCGGAGGTCTCCTGGTTATCTGCTTCCATGATATCAGGAAACTTTCCCTCAGAGCATTGGATCATGATTACACCTGTGTCATTTCTGCTAATGGCCCATCTCCCCCACGACAGTGTCAGAGTCACAGAGCCAGGGTCCTACTCTGGCTGTGCATTCTGTCTCCAGACTCTAAATAATCCTGACACAGTGGAGGCCTTGAAACCCATGCTGGGTGATGAACTTGACTATGGTCTGGATGGCTAAGGTACACAGCCCCTTGATGTCCTCCAGAGCTCTGACCCAAGCAGCATCCTATCACAGAACATTCTGGAACATTGCAACAGTTCACTTGCACGGAGTACAGAGTCACAGAGAGGCAGAGTAGTAAGAAGTAAGGAAAATGCCTGAGCAAAAGGAATGAGGTAATGGAAGCAAGAAAATTAAGGAAGGTCAAACAGTCTGAAGAACTTACAGCCAACTGGTGAATTGCAAGACCTCATCTCCCCTAACCAAGAACACTGCAGAACAAAAGGTTTGTACCTCTCCTTCCTCACCAGAGAATAGGTAGGTTAAATCACCCCAATCGGGGGGAAATATACAACAGAGACCCAATTGAGTCCATTTGTGCCAGATGAGCCCTAGGAAAGAGGAAGTTAGGAGGACAAATAGAGAAAACATTAGAGCCAGAGAGACCTAAGATAGAGGTAAAACAGTGGAGCTGACCAAAGAATAATTCCAGATCCCCCTTAGTGCTCATGTTGATGCATCAGCATATTAAAAACACCCCTGGAAACCTGGTGAATGTTCTGCTGAAACCCTCCCCTTAGATTCTCACACAGAGACAAGAGATAGAAACCCTCCACACAGAGACCTGGGGCAGCTCCCTCTAGTACGTACCCACAACCTGGTTTCAGACATGAACTGCTTTCTCTCCTTCTGAGCTCTAAGGGTCCACCTGAGATTTTCAACCAGGGGAGCAGTGGGCTGCAGCAGCTTATTTTGGGCTTTTTCCCCATCCTGCCAAGAAGGCCCCCTTTTCCTCTGACTCTCCAGTGAGCTGACAGCAACCCCACCTCAGCTCACTTCTGTCTCTGGGAGTTTTACTTTCCAGTGAGCTGACTGCAGCCTGACCTTGACTCACTCATTTCCTGTAACATTTCTAGAAACCAGAGCAGCCCCACCTAGGCTCTCTTCAGTTACTTCTTCTACCCTAAGTCCTTCCTTAATGTCACTGTCCCCAGCTTTAATAAACATACTTTCAATATCCCCTGATTCGGGCTGTAGAATCTTATCCTGAGAAATCAAGCACCCATACACCACACACCACACACCACATACCACAGGGTGGCCTGAGGCAGAAACGCTCAGGCCTGGGTCCTTCTGGGGACAACAGCTGCCAAGGGACCCAGTGAAAGCGAGTCATCGAGGCCCCCAGAGAAAACACCCTGTGTTCACTGCAGCCCCACCACCCCCGATCATCTCTGAGTCTCCTGTCCCCCACAAGGATCCCATATCGAGTACCTCATGAGTTTGCTCTGAAGGTTACACTTGACCCTCTAATGTAGATCCCAGGGTGTCACTGCCTGAGACACGTTGAGCGATGTTCTGTCCATCGTTACCATCATTCCAGTGATTAGAGCATTTAGGTGCATCCAGTCCTTTTGCTTCTATAAAACCAGGATAGAAGAAACATCCATATATACACACACATGTGATTATCTTCTTAGGATAAATTCCTAAGAGAAGACTTTCTGTGTCAAAATGTAAGCACATTTGAATTCCTGAGACCTTTTACAAAGGCATCCTTCAGGAGTTTGGTCCCATTTTTCAATCCCTTCAACGTCTACAGAATGTGCTCCCCACCCTCAGGCTGATATGCTCTTCATTTTCTTTCATCTTTGCTCAACTGATAGATTTTAAAATTTTATTTCCTATTTTCCTTATTCTACATTCTCATTTTTGTTCACAAGTATTTATTACAAATACAATTAACACTGGCATTTCTTCTTTTGCAAACTGTTTCTTAATATTCTTTATGCTTGACTGAGTTGTAAATATTTTTATATATTCAATTTAAGAAGGAAGGAAAAGCAGCCCCAACATGAGAAAGGGTCTGGCGCTTAGACAGGGAGGCCCAGTGTTACCCGGAGCCGGCCTGGCGTGCTCACTGCTGGGCCGGGTTACTCTCCGGTTGGACATTCGTGCTCTCACGGAACATCAGCATCAGAAAGGAGCATCCCAAGACCATGGGGACATGAGACAAACCCACACCACACTGCGTGTTGTCTCAACATAGACAGAAAGGAGGCACGGTGCGGCTCACACACTACCAAGCAGCTCCCAGGCTGGCTAACAGAAGGGAAGGCAGCGTCTTTCCTATCACCCCTCACCCTCGCTCCAGTCTGTGGCTTCCGGAGGTATTTCCTGAGATGCCCAGTCACAGACTTGCCCCCACGTCCTCACCACACCAATCTAGAGGGGCCCCTGCTCCCACAGACCCTCCTGAGATCGCCATCCAGATCCAGTGTCTTGGGCACGTCCTGTCTCACCCCGTCCCTCCCAGCTGCCCACACCCCCAGGAGTGCGCTCCCCCTCGCAGGAGCGATGCCCACCACCCGCTCTCCTCGGGGTCTTTAGCGGAACAACATTGGCACCCATTACCTTTCCTGTGAATATTTTTATGTGTCTTTGAGTTTGGTTGTGGGCGTGAGTATGTATCTCCAGAGCGTGTGGTTGACATAGAAAAGTTTTGTTTTCCTTCATGGTTTTTCATCTTTCGGTCTTGCTTAGAAAAACTTTCATTGCGCAATTGTAAAAATTCTAGATATATTTTCATCTAGAGGAGAGAGGGCCAAGGGTGAAGGGAAACAGAATTGTTTGAATTCTGGAGGAAATATTGGGAGGAGTAACATGTAAGGAATTCCAAGGTGGAATTCCAGTGTTTACCTCTTCTGCCTTACAATTTTATGAGTATGGAGGGGGCCTGCATGTATTTGATATATGTTATGTTCAACAAATATTTTCTCTTGAAGTAAAGATTTATGTGCCTGCTTATGCTCACCAGCATAACACAAACAACACCAAGGGTCCCAAAGTGATGTGCACAAGGACTAACTCCAGCAAGGAGCGTTTTTGATCATTTACAACGTTAGGGAGTTATATCACATTTTGGTTAATGTCTGCACACTCTAATTGTTAACTACATAAGAAGTAAACTTTCTTGGACAAGCTCTATCCTGAGGGTGCATCTAAGACCCTCACAGACAAAGGAAGACCCATCATTCCATATGAAGATACTGTTAATGTACATCAATCTATGAGTCACACAGTGTCTTTGAGGGGTAGGCATATACTGCAAACTAAAACATTCCAGAAAAGCACTGTTTCATGTGGCAGCTACAGATGATTATGGCTTTTAAATTAACAGGAAATAAAAGTAAAAGTTCAACTGCTCCACACACAGGCTGCACTTCATGTTCTCAACAGCCAACTGCAGCCAGTGGCTGCCATGTTGGATGTGCAGACACAGAACAACCCCTTGTTCCAGAACATTCTGTGGGACAGAACTGCTCTTCATGTTGTCTAGGCCTCCAGTTAGAGCACTAGACCCATGAAAAATGAAAGGGACAACATCATCTCTCTGACAGACGACACCAGATTTCTGTCTGGATTGTGAATTCATATTAAGCTGGTGTATAACAAACACAACTAGGTTACCGGTGGGTTAGTGCCTTCAGCACACTCTGTTGCCAGTTCCAAAGAAGAAACATCTGTCCCCACACCTCCCTTCCAAGACCAAGGACAGTCTTGTCTGAAATCTCATTTCTAGGGGGTGAGCTTTCTTCTAGACGAACCCAGGGGCAATGCTTTCAGCCAAGTGTGGGGAGGCAGGGATCCCACATCAGGGAGAGGGATTCTAGGAAGTGAGGGGGGTGCAAGACATGGGGCCAGTGGGGAGACTCCCCCCAGTTTATCCAGAACAACCATTCTCAAAGTGTGCTCTGTGGAACACTTGAAGTTTCTAAGAGCCTTTCATGGGATCTATGAGGTCAAAACTATTCTCATAGATTAAGGACATCCTTTGCCTTTTCACTGTGCCCACATTTGCACTGAGGTAAACTTAGCAAGAATGGAGGCTGGGACACCCAACTGGAACAGCAGGCATTCCTCACCACCACCCCTCACACACTAGAAAACAAACCAGTGTCACTTTAACAACATGTTTAAAGGATCGAAAAATATTATTGTTAGTAAATCAGCAAATTTAAATCAACATTTAAAAATATCTTTGCTTCCAGTCAAGATGTTTGTGTAGGTAAATTTAGTAATGTCTTTGCACCACTACCTCATCAAAATTACATCTACACTACAAACACCCATCATTCAGAACTGCCTAAAATCTAGCTGAACAAACGTCCTACAACTACAAAATTAAAGAAGCCCCACTGAGACTGGTAGGAGGGGTGGAGATGCTGAGCAGACTGGTTCCACAACCATGTGTGGTAGATAAAAATTTGGAGAGATATGTCAGCTGTGAGGGTTCTGTCCAAGGAGGGAGCTGTCTCAGCCTGACACTAAGACCCCCAGACGATGCTTCCAACACCAGGAAGACAGGTCTCCCCACAATTCGGGTTGTAAAAACTAGCAGGGACTGAGGCTAGTGATGCAAAGGGCTTCTGCAGTCCTGGGCATTCCTTTTAAAGGGCCAGTGCATGGACTTACTCAGACACACTCCTCTGAGCTCCAGCCCTGGGACAGCAACTCAAAAGACATGAGGAAAATATAGAGAGAAATTAAATTGTCTGGCATCAGGGCAAGAGCTGGGAGGGGGGCTGCTTTCTCTCAGACAGAAGGGCTGACAGAGGCCATTGTTCCTTTGATGAGCCCTCCCCCCACAGAGCTGCCAGGTGTGCACTGTGTCTGAGTGTCCATCCCCCTGGCTCACACTGTCCACTCTGCCCTGGTGATTCCCTGAAACCCTGCCTCACCTACCTTTCAGGCTCACTCAAGCCCTTTCCAGTGACTTTCCATGCAAACAACCTCTCTTGGATGAAGCCGTGGACTTTTCTAAAATATCTGAAATAAGCCTCATCTGGCTGAGGCACACTCCATTTCTACTGCTAAGTGGCCCCAGGCCCAGGACTAGGGGAAGTTGGCCTTGGTTCACAGCTTGGCCTCTCCCAGGTACCTCCAAGCCCAGCACAAGAAGCAGCCATGTACAGATTGATTTATAGCTTATGCCAGGTGGTTCTGCATAGGACACAGGTGATGGCTGAAATTGGCCTGCACCTCCCAAGAGACCCCACAGCCAGCACACATGTGGACAGCTCTGACCACAACAAAACACCACCCCACCCCCTCCACAGCAACCCACTCATGGGGCAGACTCAGCAGGCACCAGAGCCTCCACAGTGGCTGCAGCCAGACCTCAGAGCTGATCAGCCTGGGGATAAATCCCTTCCATTGCCAACAGCCATCCTGACTCAACCACAACAGCAAAGTGCACATGGCCCACAAGGGGGCACACAGGAGTGCCCAGGTTGGGATGTCAGGGAAACCGCACCACTGGGCCCTACACGACACCCACAACACAGGGACACTCTACCAGGACAGGAGACAGCAGCTCTACCTAACACATAGAAACAATCACAGGAAGACTGCCAAATTGAGGAGACACCAAAGTGAAAGGACAGAACAAGACTTCAGAAAAAGAAGTAAACAAAATGTAGACAAGCAATCTAATAGATGCAGAGTTCAAAACATTATAAAAATGCTCAATGAGCTAAGGAGACAAGTAGAAGAACTTAGTGTGAATGTCAACAAAGGTATAAGAAACATAAAAATGGAGAAATAAAACAAAGAAAACAGTCATAAATGAAGGACACAATAACTGAAATGAAGATACATTACAGGGAATCCACAGTGGAGTACATGAAGCACAGGATCAGATCAGAGATTGGGAAGATAAAAAAGCAGAAAACAACCAATCAGAACAGCAGGGTGGGGAAAGAGTCCTAAAAAATGAGGATAGTATAAGGAACATCAGGGACAACTTCTAGTGTACCAACATTTGCATCTTGGGGATGCCAGAAAGAGAAAACAGAGCAAGGAATTGAAACCCTATTTTTAAAAAACAGTTATGGAAAATGTCCCTAACCTGGTGCAGGTAGTACATATAAAAGTCCAGAAAGTGCAGAGTCCAAACCTGGTGAACCCAAAAAAGCCCACACACAACACACATCATAATTAAAATGCCAAAGATTAAAGAAAAAAGAGAGCATTTTAAAAGCATCAAGATAAAAGCAATTAGTTACCCACAAGAGATCTCCCATAAGACTGTCAGCTGATTTCTCCAGATGAACTTTTCAGGCCAAAGGAGATTGGCAAGTCTCATTTTTTAAATTTCTTTTGGCAAGTAATATTCAAAGTGATGAAAAGCAAGGATCCACACCAAGATTACTCCACCCAGCAAAACTATCATTTAGAATCACAATTCAGACAAAGAGCTTCCCATACAAGAAAAAGCTAAAGGAGTTTATCACCACCAAACTGGTATTACAGGAAATATTAAAGGGTAAGATAAAAGAAATAATATGAAAACTAAAAGGGTAATAAAAGCTTATCTGTCAAAAACTACTTTAAATGAAAATTAATTCATTGCTCCAATCGAAAGACATGTGGTAGCTGACTAGATGAGACAACAAGACCCTCACACATGCAGTCTACAAGAGACTCAGTTCAGATCCAAAAACACATTGACTGAACGTAAAGAGATGAAAAAGACATTTCATGAAAATGGAAACAAATAAACAAAAAGAGCTGTGGTAAAAATACTTATCCTAGACAAAAAAAGACTTTAGAACAGAGGCTATATGACAAGAGAGAAAGAAGGACCCAGCCACTGCACTTCTGGGTACTTATCTGAAGAAACCCAAAACACTAAATAAAAGAGACAAGACACATTCATATGTTCACTGCAACATTATTTACAAAAGCCAGATAGGGAAGCAGCCTAAGTGTCCATCCACAGATGGTGAGATAAAGAAGTGGTGCACATGCACAACAAAATCTGCCTCAGCCACACACACAAAAAGAATGAAATCTCTCCATTGGCAACACCATGGCGGAGGGCATGGTGCTGAGTGAAATACATTAGACAGAGAAGGACAAATACCAGGTGACTGCACTTACATGCAGAATCTAAAGAACAAAGTATTCAAGCAGAACAGAAACAAACTCATACATTCAGAAAAACAGACTGACAGGTGCAAGATAGAGTGGGAGTTTGGGGGCTGGGTGAGAAAGGAGAAGGGATTAAGAAGCACACATTGGTGGTTACAGGATAGTCATGGGGATGTAAAGTGCAGCACAGGGAATACAGTCAATAATATTGTAATAACTACATACGGTGTCAGCTGGGTACTGGATTTATGGGGGGATCACTTTGTAAGCATATACATATCTAATCACAGAGTTACACACCAGAAACTAATATAATAATGTAGATCAACTGTAATTGAAAAATAAAAAATAGTTTTTAAAAAGATAAATATATCTTGAATTCATTTACAAATGGATTAATTTCCAAACTGTCATTCATGAAAATGGAGAATAAAATGGAAAATACCTCCTAGGATGACCGGGAAAGTGCACAAACACACTTCTGCTACATTCATTCCCAAGTACCATGAGCCCAGGAAAGTGACCTGTGAGGGCTGAGCCAGCCTCTTCTTCATGGAACAGCAAGTTCACTTAAGAGAATGAGAGACACAGAACCTGTGATGACTGAGGTGTGGTGAACTGGTAAACACTCTCTCAAATGAACCTGAGCTTGTCCCTCAAGGAGAGTCAACAGGCAGTTGACACCTGACAGCACTTGTTGTCTGGATGGAATGGAAGCTCTCAGAGGAAAACCAGGGTTCTGGCAAACGTGTGTCTCACCACGGCAGCCAGACAGCTTCCCAGAGCTGACAACCATTTCCAGTGGGATCTGTGGTAATGTTAACAAATGTGATTTTTGATGATGTGTCATTAAATGCACCAACACTGGGAGATCTCTATCACTTAGTGAAACAATGCATCACTTTCAAATAACCCTGCGTCAGTACAAGAACCACTGAAGTAATGTAACAGTAGGAAATACTCAATGGATTTGTTTCAGGTCCCACTTTGCAAAGAGACTTTCAGAAACTACCGCTTTGAGGCTTTAGTGTATGATCCAAGATGAATATCCACACTAACACAGTTTTAAGAATGTTCCTCCTACATATTGGTATGAGGCTGTATATATTTTCATATACCGCAACAAAAAAAAACTTAAATGCAGAAGCAAATATGAAAGTCCAGTGGACTTCTAATGATACAGACAAGAAGTGAGACTTGCAAAAATGTAAAATGTGAGCAGCTCCACTCTTCTCACTGCCTTGTGTATTTGGGAAAATATTATTTTTAATAAAAACTTTATTCTCTTAACATGTCATAGATTATTAATATTAGCCTAAATAATTTTTTAAAATTTCTGTTGTATTCCTTGTATGGTAAATATTAGTAGATGTAACACACACAAACAAAATTATGGCCCGGGTCCGGGCCTAGTTTGTGAGACTGTATAGATGTTCTGATACAAAATGTTTGAGAGTCGCTGAATAAAACAGCCCATCGGCCAGGACTCAGGGAGACGAGGGGACAGAGAGTTCACCCTGCGGGAGGAGGGCTTGGGGCAGAGTCACGTGTCCCCAGACTCGCCTCCCAGGTCCCAGCCCAGGGCCATATTTGGAGCGAGGACTCTGTGACAGGGAGTCCCCTTCTCCCTGGGGGTTTTCCTCTTCCCTCTCTCCCCTCCTTCTGCCTGGATACTCACGACGCTTCCCCCGATTCTCACTCCCATTGGGTGGAGAATTCCACTGAAGCCAATCAGCGTCACCGTGGTTCCGGGTATCAGCCCACTCCAGGAACCAGACAGAACACATTCACCCCAGATGCTCAGGGTCCCCATCCTGGGGCCCCGAGCGCTGCTCCTGCTGCTCTCGGGGGCCCTGGCGCTGACCGAGACCTGGGCCGGTGAGTGCGGGGTCAGGAGGGAACGGCTTCCGGGGAAAGCACGCCTCCAGCACTCCCGACCCAGACCCCAGACCCGACTCCGGAGTCGCCCCCTCCCCCTTCCCTGCACCCCATCTCAACCACCGCCCCCTTTTCGGTCTCCATGGCCCCCGGCCCCTACAGGAACCACCTCGGACCAAGAACGCGCGTCCTCCCCGCCCCCAGGCCCTCACAGCCTGCGATATTTCAGCAACGCCGTGTCCGGACCGGGCCGCGGGAAGTCCCGGTACATCGGCGTCGTCTATGTGGACGACACGGAGGTCGAGCGGTTCGACAGCGACGCCCCGAACCCGAGGATGGAGCCGCGGGTGCCGTGGATGAAGGACCCGTGGGTGGAGCAGCAGATGCCGGGGTATTGGAAAGAGCGGACGGGCGTTTGCACGCACTACGCGGAGATTAATGGAGGGAAACTGAACAACCTGCGCGGCCACTTCAACCAGAGCGAGGACGGTGAGCCGCGCGCGCGATCCGCATCAGAACAGAGGGGCCCGGGTCCCCCGAGTCTCCAGGTCCGAGCCCTACCCCGAGGCTGCGGACCCGCCCGGCCCCCAGCTGGGGAGGAGCCCGTGGGTACTTTGGCGGGTTTGAATTTCTCTTAAGGACCCGACTCTGCTAGGGTCGGGTCCGCACTGGTGGAAACCGGGTCCGGGCCAGCGCGGCGAGGCTGACCTCGGGGCGGGGTCAGTGTCCCACACCTACCAGGAAATGTATGGCTGCACCGTGGGGTCCGACGGGCGCTTTCTCAGCGGGTACCATCGGTTCCTCTACGACGGCACCGAATACCTCGCCCTGAACCAGGACCTGAGCTCCTGGACCGCAGCGGACACAGCGGCCCAAGTCACCTGGCGTGAGGTGGTGCGGGTCCCTGATGCGAAGGACCAGAGGGCTTACCTGGAGGGCGAGTGTCTGCACCGGCTCCACCTGTACCTGGAGAAGGGGAAGGAGACCCTACTGCGAGCAGGTACCAGGATGTGGACCTCCTCGAGAGGGGATCTGTAGGTGGGGTGGCTTCCTGCAAGGAGAGGAGGAAAATGGGGCAGTGTCAGAATCTCCGCCCCCCCCCACCCCCACCCTTCTCGGGAGAGGGAAGAGTCCCCCAGGTCTCCTTCTTCTGTGACTCACCCCTGGGCCCAGCTTTCTCTAAAGGACAGTAAGGGACCCAGCCCCTCCCTGAAACACCCCACAGTGGTTCCCTCACACCCTGCAGCACCTGGTGCACCAGGACGCTCTCCCTGGTTCTGGGGCTGAGATCTTCTCTGGAGACCTCACTCAGGGTTTCTGAGTCATTCAGCCTCCACCTGAGTCTGTGTCTCCCCTTAGACACCCTAACACTCCTACCCTAAGTTCTCAGCTTTTTTCTGGAACTTTCCCAGAAGTAAGAGATTATCTCAGAAACCTCTGTCCAGGCTGGTGTCTGGGTGTTGCTCTCCCTTCTCCCACCCCCACTGTCCTGTCCACTGTCAGGGTGGTCATATGAGCACTGCTAGAGTGTCCCATGACCATGCAAACTTCCTGAATTTTCTCACCCTCCCCTCAGACCCTCCAAAGACACACGTGACCTACCACCCCATCTCTGACCACGAGGTCACCCTGAGGTGCTGGGCCCTGGGCTTCTACCCTGCTGACATCACCCTGACCTGGCAGCGTGATGGGGAGGACCTGACCCAGGACATGGAGCTTGTGGACACCCGGCCTGCAGGGGACAGGACCTTCCAGAAGTGGGCAGCTGTGGTCGTGCCCCCTGGAGAGGAGCAGAGATACACGTGCCATATGCAGCACCAGGGGCTGCCTGAGCCCCTGACCCTGAGATGGGGTGAGGAGGGGATGTGGGCACAGAGCATCCCTCCAGGGTGTCCCTGAGCAGGGTCAGGACTCCGGCCTGAAGTTGGCCTCTCACCTTCCCCTCACAGATCCCCCTCCTCAGACCTCCATCACCATCATCATCGTGGGCATCGCTGCTGCCCTGGGTCTCCTTGGAGCTGCAGCTGCTGGAGCTGTGCTGTGGAGGAAGAAGTGCTCAGGTGGGCAAGGGTCAGGGGCTGAGTTTCCTGTCCCCCTGGGGGTCAAGCTCAGGTGGAAGTGTGTTCTCCCTCCTTAATGGGCATCATGTCCCCACATGGGTGCTTGTCTATCTGGGGCCTATTTCCTAACATTGACTCTTTAGTGAGGCCCGTGGGAAACTGAAGAACACATTTGTCTCCTGATGGTTCTAGGGATGGGGACTGATTCCCAGCTGTCACAGGTGAGAGGGGAAGGTCCCTGCTGAGGACAGATGTCCAGAAGGGCAGTTCGTACAGTCCCCACACATGTACTGTCCCTGTATTTCATGACCCTAACTTGGGTGTTGTCACAGTTATGGAAATCTCCCTGTCCTTCAGGAGTGTGAGGCTCTTTTAGAGTCCTGGAATCCAGCCTTCCCCTGACTTCTCACAGAACATTTTCTTCCCTCAGGCAGAGGCAGGAAGAGCTACACTCAGGCTGCCTGTAAGTCTGGGTGTTGGGGAGCTGACATCTGGGACCATTGGGAGAATGTGGGCTGGAGTCTGTGAGGGGGACTCCCCCACCCATAACTCTGCTGTTGTGTCTTCCCCAGGCAGCGACAGTGCCCAGGGCTCTGATGTGTCTCTCACAGCTCCTAAGGGTGAGACCCTGAGGGCAGGAAGTGGGGGGATTGGGACTGAGAGACAAACTGGGTTTTGTGGATTCTCAGAGTGGCACATTCTGAGCATGAGGTGGGCTGTGGGAGAATGTGACACTCTAAGACTGACCTGCATTTGCTCATGACAACTTTCTTTCCCAGTGTGACAGAGCTGCTTTCTACGGAACCTGCTGCTGAAACAGTCATTGCTGCCTCCCCTTGGGATTTGAAGGATCCCTGACTGCTGTTTCTGCAACCAGCATCTGAACATGCCTACATTGTATTCAAATTGGCTATATATTTATATACATAATCTAAACAGAAGTGATTTAGATTAAAAATGCCAAGTTGTATGGTTTCCACTAGTGGTTTTCTATCTGTACCTTCACCCCATTTGTTAAGCTGTTCTAGTCACTTTAAGTTCATCAACTTACCATGAGGTGTGGAGACAATCCGGGAGGGACAGACTGTGTGCCATGGGACAAGGGGACCTCACGGCTCCCCAGTGATGTTCCTGTGACCACCTGTGCTCCATAAACAATTAAGGGTTTTTTCCCCGCACATCTGAATGTACCTTTTGGAACCTCTGGCTTTGAGGGGTGAGTCCCCTGATGCTAACCAATTGCTGTTTTGTTGCCTTGGACTTGCCCCTAGCTTCCAGGACCCCCTCTTGTAGTCCTCAGGGGTGTCTGTGTGGGGTGCAGAGAGCTGACCAATCCAAAAATGAGGAACACCTGATTTTATTAGGAACACCTGCTTACTGCAGGAACTGTTCCAGGGTCCACTGTCCTTAATCCACTGCAGACACTGTTTTCATTCTGTGGATGCTGAGTCCTGGAAGGTCATGGCCAAGGAGCCCATGTCCTTAGTGGTTTCTTCTGAGAGTTCCTCCCCAAGGGAGAGCCCAGTAGGCTACAGGGTCAGTCTGGCTGCTGAGCTGAGAACAGAATCAGGAGACAAGGGGCCAGCGAGGAAGGAGGGAAAGGTGTGGGGAAGCTCCATGGTTCCAGGCTGTAGGTACTGGGTGTTCTGATGGCGCTGTGAGTGGTGGAAACAGTGGGAGGCGACTGGACACTGAATGCATTTGGAAGATGGATTTCACAGCATTTCCTAAGGATTCAGTGTAGGGTGTGGGAAAGGAGTCAAGGTGGGCACCCCACCTTTGTACTGTGCCAGCAGAAAGATGGGGTTATATTAGCAGAGATGGAGAAGACACTGGCAGGAACATGTCTGGGGGAAGGGTAAAGAGGTCAAGGTGAGATGTGTGTTAGAAACACCAGTGAGGTATCAGGTTGGACAGATGAGTGTGGGAACCTTGAGAAATGTCTGGACTGGCAACATAGACTTGGAGGTGATGCTACAAATATGACATTTAAATCTGTGAGTGTGGATGAGGCCACCAAGGGAGCCAGGACTGTGGAAGAAGAAACACAAGGACTAGACACTGCACCTCCCTGTCCCAACAGTGGTGACATTCATCTTTGTTACTCTCCCAGGTTGGTGACAGCCAGTTCGCCCCATTATAAATTCACCATTTGGTTAATGTCATTCATTAGTAATTTACAGGGAGATATTCTGAGATTGTCCTGCTGTGCTCTTCACCACTTCTAGACTCATCCTCCTTAGTCCCTCTTATAACTTCCACCTGAGACAGCAAAACTATGATGGTTGTCCTGTATCAGCCCTGGATACTTATGAGTAGGGTGCAGAGTACAGCACGGGGAAGATAGTGAATAATATTGTTGTGACTACATATGGTGTCAGACAGGTACTAGATATAATGGGGAGATTATTTCATAAGCTTAATACATATGTTTAATCATTCTGTTTTACAGCTAAAAATTAATATAATGTATATTAAGTATAATTAAAAACTTAAAAGAATTAACTCATGGACACAGACAACAGTGTGGTAATTGTGTGGGGGAGGGATGGGTGGAGGTGGGAGAGTGTGTGGTAGGATAAACAGTCATGGAAAAAGAAAAAAAATAAAATAATTGTTTTAAGTTTAAAAAAAGTGCGAAGTTGACCAGTAAGAGGGACTTGGGGACAGAGTTTGGACAAAAGTAGGAGCTGAAGGAAAGGGCCCAGTGAGAAACACCATGAAGAGAGCTCCTGGCCCAGATGGCCCTGTATCCAATGACATGTGACTCTAACTCAGCTTGTCCCCAGAAACAGGGGACACTTTCTCTGCCTCCTCCCCGCTGCTCCTGAGGGTGTCTCTGTAATGGCCATCACTGTCCCCAGTCATCAGATGTGCCTGAGGGGGATCTGCAAGGACAAGTTTCTGTAATTTAGAGATGCCCCAGTCCCCTCACACAGATGATGTCACTGACAGGATAGGTGATGTGATAGTGACATCTCTGTGGGGAGATCAGGACCACGCATGCTGTCCCTGCAACTGGGATCAGGAGCCACCCTGCCTGAGAAATCCATGCACAGAGCTGTGGAGCTCAGACCAGCCAGGTGAGGGCTACCTTGTGTCCATTCTCAGGGCAGAATCAGAAAGGGTCAGCCCAGGAGGGACTTAGAGCTGAGGGTGGGCAGCATCCTGTGCGGGACTGTACTGAGCTTGCGTGGTCCTGAGCAGCCCCTCACGCACAAGCTGGGCAGGTTTCAGGGGGAATGGCAGGGTGTTTCAGGAGGGTGCCTGCAGGTCCCTGTACCCTGGAGTCCCTGTTAGTGACAGAAAGGGGTGGGTCCCTTGCAACCTGGGTGCAGCCTTGTAGGGCAGGAGCCATGGAGCTCCTCCACCCTGAACAAAATCCCTCACAACCCTGGGTCATGATTACATTTCTCTGTGCCATTTCTATAATGGCCCATCTCCCCCACCACGGGGTCAGAGTCACAGAGCCAGGGTCCTACTCTGTCTCTCCATTCTGTCTCTAGACTCAAACTAATCCTGGCACAGTAGAGGTCTTGAAACCCATGCTGGGTGATGAAGTTGACTGTGGTCTGGATGGGTAAAGTACACAGCCCCTTGATGTCCTCCAGAGCTCTGACCTGAGCAGCCTCCCATCACAGAACATTCTGGAACATTGCAACAGTTCACTTGCATGGCATGCAGAGTCATAGTGAGGCAGCATAGTAAGCTAGGAAAAGTCCTAGGCAAGAAGAATGGGGAAACTGAGGCAAGAAAATTAACCAAAGCCAAATGGTCTGAAAAACTTACAGCCCACTGGTGAATCACAAGACCTTATCTCCCCTAACCAAGGACACTTGAGAACAATTGTTTGTACCTCTCCACCCAAACCAGAGAATGCATAGCTTAAATCACCCTGGTCAGGGGGAAATACACTAGAGAGACCCAATTAATGCCATTTGTACCAGATGAACCCAAGGACAGAAGTCAAGGGAGAAAATAACAACAAGAACAACAACGACGACATTAGAACCAGACAGACCTAAGAAAAAAGTAAAACAGTGGAGCTGACCAGAGGATAATCCCCAAGCCCCCATGTGCCCAGTTTGATGCATCAGCATATTTAAAACACCCCTGGAAAGCTGATGAATATTCTGCTGACGGTCTCCCCTAGATTCTCACCCAGAGAAAAGAGATAAAAACCCTCCAGACAGAGACCTGGGGCAGCTTGTTCTAGAGCACACCCACACCCCCATGTCAGACATGAACTTCTTTCTGTCCTTCTGAGCTCTAAGGTGCCCTTGAGATTATCAGCCAGGGGAGCAGAGGGCAGTGGCAGCTTGTCTCAGGTTTATCCCCCATCCTACCTTCAAGGCCCCCTTTTTCCCTGACTCTCCAGTGAGCTGACAGCTACCCTGCCTTTGCTCACTTCTGTCTCTGGGAGTTTTACTTCCCAGTGAGTTTATTGAAACCTGATTTTGACTCACTACTCCTGTAACATTCCCAGGAACCAGAGCAGCCCAACCTAGGCTCTCTCCAGTGACTTCTTCTACCCTAAGTCCTTCCTTAGTGTCACTGTCCCAACTTTAATAAACATACTTTCAAAATCCCCTGGACTCGGGCTCTGAAATCTTCTCCAGAAGATGTCAAGCACCCACACACCACAAGCTGTCCAGGTGGAAGTGTGCTCTGCCTCATTAATGGGCACCGTGTCCCCACATGGGTGCTTGTCCATCTGGGGCCTATTTCCTAACACTCACTCTTTAGTGAGGCCCGTGGGAAAGTGAGGGACACATTTATCACCTGATGATTCTAACCTTGGGACCTGATTCCCAGCTGTCACAGACCAGATAGGAAGGTCCCTGCTGAGGACAGAGGTCTAGACAGACGGTTGGTCCAGTCCCTGAACATGTACATTCCCTGTATATCCGGATCCTACCCTGGTGTTCAATTGCAGTTCTAGAACTTTCCCTGTGCTTCAGGAGTATGGGGTTCCTTCAGGGTCATGGGACCCAGCCTTCCCCCTGACTTCTCACAGCACATTTTCTTCCCACAGGCAGAGGCAGGAAGAGCTACACTCAGGCTGCCTGTAAGTCTGGGTGTTGGGGAGGTGACGTCTGGGTCCCTTGGGAGAGTGTGGGCTGGATCTGTGAGGGGGGCTCCCCCACCCGAAACTCTGCTGTTCTGTCTTCGCCAGGCAGCGACAGTGCCCAGGGCTCTGATGTGTCTCTCACAGCTCCTGATGGTGAGACCCTGAGGGCAGGAAGTGGGGTCATTGGGACCGAGGAGCACAGCTGGGTTTTGGGGATTCTCAGAGTGGGACATTCTGAGCATGTGGTGGCTGTGGGAGAATATGACACTTCTGAGACTGACCTGAAGTTTCTCATGACAACTTTCTTTCCCAGTGTAAAAGAGCTGCCTTCTATAGGACCTGCTGCTAAAACAGTCACTGCAGCCTCCCCTTGGAACTTTAAGGATCCCTGACTGCTGTTTCTGCAACCAGCATCTGAACATGTCTGCATTATATTAACTTTAGCTCTATATTTATATACATAATCTAAACAGAAGAGATTTAGATTAAGAGCTCCAAGGTGTATTGTTTCTGGTAGGTGTTATTCTATCTCTATCTTCAGCCCATTTGTTTAGTTGTTCTAAGTCAATTTACATTCATAAACTTACCATGAGGTGTGGGGACAACCTAGGATGGACAGACTGTGTGCCATGGGACAAGGGGACTGCACGGCTCCCCAGTGATGTTCCCTGTGACCACCTGTGCTCCATGGGCAATTAAGGGTTTCTTCATGCACATCCGAATGTGACCTCTTAGAGCCTCTGGCTGTGGCTGGTTGAGTCTTTTGGTTCTAACTGAGTGCCATTTTGTTGCCTAGAAGTCACTCCAAGCTTCCAGTTCCCCCTCTTGTCGACCTCAGGGGTGTGTGTGGATTGCAGAGAGCTGACCAATCAGGTGAGAACAGCTGATAAAGCAGGAGCTGTTCC